GGGAGGCATATATGCAAACTGTTGTGAAAAGCTGAAAGTTAAAGGTACCAGGGGAAAGCATCTCATAGGGCCCCATACTGACCCCGGGCCCTCGGGCAGTGCCCGAGTTTCCAAATGGTCAGTCCGCCCCTGATGGAAAGACCTACCACCTTCCTCAAATTTACAGAAGATGTCGTCACTGCCCTAATCTATCACCAAGGATCTCCATCACAAAGCATAAGCTCCGATTGTGTCCCTGAGAGCATTCCACCATCAGAAACAGGAAGAAGGCGCAAAAAAAAAACTGTAGGGTATGCAGCATAGGGGAGTTAGGAGAGACATCAGTTTTCAGTGTCCCCAATGTCCCTCCCAACCAGGCCTATGTATCGTAGACTGCTTCAGACGTTATCACACATTAGTAAAATGTTAGTTACCTATATTTTTAACAGCCTGCAATTTCCCCATTTTTATTAGCTGTGCTGCTTTTTGCCTGCTGTCTTGATTGACCATGGCTCTGCCTTCCACCTTACCTGACCCTGGCCTGTTTACCGACAATGCCTCTGCTTCCATCTGAATTATTTCTAAACCACATTTCTGCCTTCCACTGGAATTGACCCTGGCCTGCTTATCGACTATGCTTCTGCCTGCCATCTGGATTATCAACCACGTTTATGCCTTCTTCCTGGACTGACCTCAGCCTGTTAAATCGACAATGTTTTTTGCCTGCTGCTTGGATTGATCTTTTGCCCTGTTACTGAAGTAGTGGGATTCAAGATAACACAGGGGTTTCACATATGTGATGGGTTTCAGAGTAGAGAAAAAAACAGTTTTTGGTTTTCTCCAGGTTTTGTAATTCCTGGAACAAGGTCTGTTTGTCTGGAAGCTTTGAAGAGATTGGGTGGGACGAAGCCTCTACCCCTGTGCCCTGGTCCTACCTGACTAAGGCCCTAAGCTTGATGTTCCTGCCTGTTGCCTGGACCAATACTCTGGCTGTGCTGACCATATCTCCTTTTGCTACCTGTACTGACCCAAGACTTTTTTGGACCATGTTCCTGCCTGCTGCCTGGACCAATACTTTGGCTGTGATGACCATATCTCTGCCTGCTGCCTGTACTGACCCAGGACTTTTTATGGACCATATTTCTGCTTTCTGCTTGGATCTCAGCCTGCTGCCTGTTCTGACCCTGGCTTGTTTATCCACCATATTCCTGCCTTCTGCCTGTGCAATTCCTGTGGCTGTTGCCTGCTTCCTGGTCTAAAACTTTTGCTTAACCTTTCTTCAGCTAGGCTGTGAAAAAGTCTCACATGTGGTATTGTCATGCTCAGGAGGAGTAGCAAAATGTATTTTTGAGTATAGAAGAAATATCCTATAAATTGACAACTTTGTATAAAAAAAATACTTTTTCAATTTCTTCCCACATTTTCCAATAACTTGTGGAAAAAAATGACATGTTCAAAAGACTCATTATGCCTCATAGAATATATGTTGGAGTGTTTTGTTTCCAAAATTTGGTAATTGTGTTTATTTTCCCATTGTCCTGGTGCCTGGGGCCTTCAAAACTGTGATAGGTAGTCAGGAAATTAGATGTGTAATTTATGCCCCTTTTATACTCCTAGAATGCGTGAAGGTGCTACTTGGATGTTGGGTTTCTGTATGTGGCCAGGTTGTGGAAAAGTCTCACAGATGTCTCCATACTCAGAAGGAATAGCAGCATGTATTTTGGGACATAATTCTTGGTATGTAAAGGTGAAACTCGAAAAATTAGAATATCGTGCAAAAGTTCATTTATTTCAGTAATGAAACTTAAAAGGTGAAACTAATATATGAGATAGACTCATTACATGCAAAGCAAGATAGTTCAAGCCGTGATTTGTCATAATTGTGATGATTATGGCTTACAGCTCATGAAAACCCCAAATCCACAATCTCAGAAAATGAGAATATTGTTAAAAGGTGCAATATGCTAGGCTCAACGTGTCCCACTCTAATCAGCTAAATAAGCCATAACACCTGCAAAGGGTTCCTGAGCCTTTATATGGTCTCTCAGTCTGGTTCAGAAGGAATCACAATCATGGGAAAGACTGCTGACCTGACACTTGTGCAGAAAACCATCACTGACACCCTCCATAAGGAGGGAAAGCCTCAAAAGGTAATTGCAAAAGAAATTGGATGTTCCCAAAGTGCTGTATCAAAGCACATTAATAGAAAGTTACGTGGAAGGGAAAAGTGTGGAAGAAAAAGGTACACAGGCAGCAGGGATGAACGCAGCCTTCAGAGGATTGCAGGAAAAGTCCATTCAAAAGTGTTGGGGACTTTCACAAGGAGTGGACTGAGGCTGGAGTCAGTGCATCAAGAGCCACCACACACAGACGGATCTTGGGCATGGGCTTCGAATGTCGTATTCCTCTTGTCAAGCCGCTCCTGAACAACAAACAATGCCAGAAGCGTCTTACCTGAGCTAAAGAAAAACAGACCTGGTCTTTTGCTCAGTGGTCCAAAGTCCTCTTTTCTGATGAGAGCAACGTTTGCATCTCATTTGGAAACCAAGGATCCAGAGTATGAAGGAAGAATGGAGAAGCACACACTGCAAGATGCTTGAAGTCCAGTGTGAAGTTTCCACAGTCTGTGTTGATTTGGGGAGCCATGTCACCTGCTGGTGTTGGTCCACTGTGCTTCATTAAGTCCAGGGTCAACGCGGCCGTCTACCAGGAGATTTTGGAGCATTTCATGCTTCCTTCTGCAGACGAGCTTTATGGGATGCTGACTTCATTTTCCAGCAGGATTTGGAACTGCCCACACTGCCAAAAGCACCAAAACCTGGTTCAATGACCGTGGGATTATTGTGCTTGATTGGCCAACAAACTGAACTCCATAGAGAATCTATGGGGCATTGCCAAGAGAAAGATGAGAGACATGAGACCGAACAATGCAGAAGAGCTGAAGGCGGCTATTGAAGCATCCTGGTCTTCCATAACACCTCAGCAGTGCCACAGGCTGATAGCTTCCATGCCACGCCGCATTGAGGCAGTAGTTGCTGCAAAAGGGGCCCAAACCAAGTACTGAGTACATATGCATGCTTATACTTTTCAGAGGTCCGATATTGTTCTATGTACAATCCTTGTTTTATTGATTGCATGTAATATTCTTATTTTCTGAGATTGTAAATTTGGGGTTTTCACCTTTTAAGTTGCATTACTGAAATAAATGAACATTTGCACGATATTCTAATTTTTCGAGTTTCACCTGTACATGCTGTGTGTTAGAAATATCTTATATATGTACAACTTTGTGTGAAAAAAAAAAAATTTTTATTTTTCTTTCCACATTTTCTAAAAACTTTTGGAAAAAAGTAACATGTTCAAAAGACTCATTATGCCTGATAAAATATAACTTGGGATGTTTGCTTTCCAAAATGGGGTCATTTTGTTTGTGTTTCTACTGTCCTGGTGCTCCAGGCCTTCAAAACTGTGATAGGAAGTCAGGAAATTAGATGTGTAATTTATGCCCCTTTTATGCTCCTAGAACACGTGTGAAGGTTCTACTTGGATGTTGGGTCTCCGTATGTGGCCAGCCTGTGGAAAAGTCTCTCACACATGTGGTATTGCCATACTCAGAAGGAGTAGCAGAATGTATTTTGGGGCATAATTCTTGGTATGTACATGCTGTGTGTTAGCAATATGTTATAAATGTACAACTTTGTGTAAAAAAAAAGTTTTAATTTTTCTTTCCACATTTTCTAAAAATGGAAAAAAAAATTACATGTTCAAAAGGCTCATTATGCCTGATAGAATATACCTTGGGATGTTTGCTTTCTAAAATGGGGTCACTCTGTGGGTGTTTCCATCATCCTGGTGCTCCAGGGCCTTCAAAACTGTGATAGGTAGTCAGGAAATTAGATGTGTAATTTATGCTCCTTTTATGCTTCTAGAACGCGTGAAGGTGCTACTTGGACATTGGGCCTCTGTATGTGTCCAGGTTGTGGAAATGTCTCACACATGTGGTATCTCAATACTCAGGGGGAGTAGCAGAATGTGTTTTGGGGTGCAATTGCAAGTATGTCTATGCCAGGTGTGAGAAATAACTTGTTATTTTGACAATTATGTGTAAATAAAAAATTATAATTTCTTCAGTTTCCAAAGAATTGTGGGAAAAAAAATTACAACTTCACCATGTCTTTTATTAAATACCTTGAACTGTCTATTTTCCAAAAAGGGGTCTTTTGGGTGCTATTTGTACTTTGCTAGCATGTTAGGGCCTCAAGAAATAAAAAAAGGCCCTCAGTGCTTCAGGTGTGATCAGGTGAGATCAAATTTCAATGATTGGTGCCATAGCTTGTAGAGTATAACTTTCAAACAGACTAAATAATATACACGTATTTTGAATATTTTTATCAAAGTTATGTAGCAGTATAAATTTTTGCCTACATTTATGAAGAAAAATTACTTATTTGCAAAATGTTATAATAGAAACAAAGAAAACCTTTTTTTTTCCAAAAGTTTCGGTCTTTTTTCATTTATAATGCAAAACTAGAAAAACCCAGTGGCGATTAATTACCACCAAAGGAAAGCTCTATTTGTGTGAAAAAAAATGCTAAAAATTTCATATGGGTACAATGCTGCATGACCGCGCAATTGTCATTCAAAGTGCAACAGCACTAAAAGCTGAAAATTGGCCTGGGCAGGAAGGGGGTAAAAGTACCCTGTATGGAAGTGATTAACTACAGCATGCATTAACCAGTTCCCTACCACGTTATAGCTGAAGGGCAGCTACAGTGCGATTGTCTTGTTCTGGGATGACATCTTTGGACGTCATTCCAAAACACGCCCCCTGCGCCCCGCGGCATGCACCCGGCAGTGAGCGCTGATCACGGGATATGGTAAATGGCCAATCACGGCGGCCTTTTACCATGTGATCAGCTGTGTCCAATGACACAGCAGATCACTGGTAAATGCAGTTGCACTTTCCTCACGCTGTCACACTTGTACCCATCAGTGCCACCCACTGTACCCATCAGTGCCACCCACCTTTGCCCTGCAGTGCCACTCACATGTGCCCATCAGTGCCACCCACCTGTGCCCATCAGTGCCACCCACCTGTGGCTAGCAGTGCCACCCACCTGTGCCCAGCAGTGCCACCCACCTGTGCCCAGCAGTGCCACCTATCAGTGCTGCCCAGCACTACCACCCATCAGTGCTGCATCATCAGTGCTAGCTCATCAGTGCCTCCTATAAGTGCCCATCAGTGCTGCCTATCCATGCCACCTCATCAGTGCTGCCTATCAGTGCCCATTTGTGCAGCCTATCAGTGTAGCCTCATCAACGCACAACAGTGAAGGAGAAAAATTACCTGTTTGCAAAATTTTATAATAGAAACAAACAAAAACTTTTTTTTTCTCAATTTTTTTGCTCTTTTTTTTATTTATAGCGCAAAAAATAAAAAAAAACACCCAGTGGCGAGTAAATACCACCAAAAGAAAGCTCTATTTGTGTGAATAAATGATACAAATTTTATATGGGATACAGTGTCACATGACCACGTAATTGTCATTCAAAATGTGACAATGCTAAAAGGTGAAAATAGGCCTGGGCAGGAAGGGGGTGTAATAAACAGAAGGTAAAATCATGGTCAGGAGCTGTCAGGCTCTGCAGGCCGGCCCCTCTGGAAATTCCCCCTGCTCTAGAGCTTTGGAAGAAGGCCCTAGAGGCAATGGGTGGATCTGATGGCTTGCACTCTTGAGGAATCCTAGCCAACAGGAGGTTGGAAAGGGGCTGGAACACCCTTAAAATTGTTGGAGCCTGTTCAGCTACAGGAGAGTTTGGGTGGAAGACAGTGAGGAAGATGTGAAGCTGAAGGCAGGAGGCTGCAAGGAGGCCCAGTAGGATAGGGGCCTATCTGCAGGCCTGGAAAGAAAATGTCACTGGCGCCCAGAGCGAGGACCACCTGTATGGCAGGGAAGGAGTGGCCCAGCTGGAAAGGCCTGGTAGCAGTCACCAACCCACCAACAGTATAGGAGAGAACCTGAATGAATACCTCTGCACCCCCTGTGCAGATATGGGAAGGAGAACTCTGTTGGGAAACCAGATTCGCTGCCTATTTGGGACTGTCCACTTTTAAAGTTACAGACACCAGATCCCCTGTTCAGGGATAGCTCCAGGCTGGGTAAAGAAGAGGGTCTGGGTTGGTACATTAAGGAGATGCTGGCTAGCTCTCCAACAGAGACTGTGTTGCAGCAAAGGCTTGTAAATAGTTCCAGGAAGTTGTTCCTTCCTTGGGCATCCTGTACACCCCTAACCTTATCCCAGTTCAAATCCCCCAAATAAAATAATAAAAGCAAAGCTGGAGGACTGATTTCTGACTGTGGATGCAGGCCAGTGTGAAGATGCATGTTGCTTGGCTGTGCAGGACTATTGGGGGGACCCAAATCTTCTAGCGACTCCTAAGGGGGTAGTGTTACAAGGAAAAGGAAAGGTTTGGGAACTCATGGAGTATGTTACAAGGAGGCAGAAAAATTAGTAAGAAATGATCTCATGAAAAATAGAGAGTCATTAAGTAATAGATGTGTATGGCTTGCTTATTTTTGGAGAATAAGAATATTGTTTAGTGTCTTTTTAAGGTAAAAAAAAAATCAAATCACGGGTTCTAAATGGCAATCTAAAAACTGAAACCCTTAAAATGTTCCAAGCAAATTTTGACCTTCAATGGTCCACCAAATCTATACCATATTTAGGGATAAGTTAACACTGTCAATCCAAACAGTACTCCTATTCATCTTTTCCCCTCTTTTTCAACAAATACCAGCAGATCTGGAGAAATGGTCCACATCTCCACCCTTTGCACCCACAGATCCTGTGCAGTGCGATTTCAGCCCATTCATTCAGCCCATCCCACAAAAATTAGTGCATGTACTACTTTTAGAAACACACTGCAATAGGATCACATGGTACTTTTGTACCATGTCATCTGGTGCAGGTAAACACACTGTGTTTGTGACCTGCATTTGGGGTGTCATTAACTTTGCACGGACACCCGCTGCAGAATGCAAAGGCATTGTTCAATGTAATCGACTAAATGGGTAACAGGGTTATCAACATGTGGTGATTATTACCTAAATGGAGAAGTTGATTCACTGGCAAAAAAGTCTGTATTTGTTTTACTATGTCTCATTTCTATTGTTAAAGAATGCATTTCCCCTTGCAATTACCCACTGTTAATATTGGACAGCTTTCAGTCATGCTTGGCACGTGTCATATTGTATTCAAATCCATCACAGATTTCCAGGATGATAATATGAACAAATGTTTAATATTACACAATTCTAATTTTTGTAAAGCAAACAGTCCATAAGTTTTTCCTTATTGACAAAGTCTGTACTGTACTTGGCAACTTTAAGCATACAGCATGTCCTGTCAAGTCTGTATTGTTTGATCTGACAGCATTTCAATAAAACATCCAGAACACTTTGCTTTTGGCCAGATGCATTGACATTTGCATGTCAAATAATTTATTTGATAATTCTGAACATCTGATAAAACACCATATTGCTAAAAGTATTGGGATGCCTGCCTTTACACGCACATGAACGTTAATGGCATCCCAGTCTTAGTCCCGCAGGGTTCAATATTGAGTTGGCCCACCCTTTGCAGATTAAACAGCTTCAACTCTTCTGGGAAGGCTGTCCACAAGGTTTAGGAGTGTGTCAATGGGAAAGTTTGACCATTCTTCCAGAAACGTATATGTGAGGTCAGGCACTGATGTCGGACAGAAGGCATGGCTCGTAGTCTCCATTCTAGTTCATCCTAAAGGTGTTCTATGGGGTTTAGGTCAGGATTCTGTGCAGGCCAGTCAAAATCCTCCACCCCAAACTCTCTCATCCATGTCTTTATGGACCTTGCTTTGTGCATTGGTGCGCAGTCAAGTTGGAACAGGAAGGGGCCATCCCCAAACTGTTCCCACAAAGTGGGGAGCATGAAATTTTCCAAAATGTCTTGGTATGCTGACACCTTAAGAATTCCCTTCACTGGAACTAAGGGGAAAAGCCCAACCCCTGAAAAACAACCCCACACCATAATCCCCCCTCCACTAAACTTTACACTTGGCACAATGCATTCAGGCAAGTACCATTCTCCTGGCAACCGCCAAACCCAGACATGTCCATCGGATTGCCAGACAGAGAAGTGTGATTCATCACTCCAGAGAACACATCTTCACTGCTCTGGAGTCCAGTGGCGGCGTGCTTTACACCGCTGTATCCAATTGCACTTGGTGATGTAAAGCTTGGATGCAGCTGCTCGGCCATGGAAACCCATTCCATGATGCTCTATATGCACTGTTGTTGTGCTAATCTGAAGGCCACATGCACTTTGGAGGTTTTTAGCTATTGACTGTGCAGACAGATGGAGACTTCTGTGCACTGCGCGCTTCAGCATGTGCTGACCCTGCTCTTCATGGCTGAGTTGCTGTTGTTCCCAGTTGTTTCCAGTTGCTTTCACTTTGTTATAATACCACTAACAGTTTACTGTGGAATATTTAGTAGCAAGGAAATTTGGACTTATTGCATGGGGACAACCTATCATTGTACCACACTTGAATTCGCTGAGCTCCTGAGAGAGTGACATATTATTTCACAAATGTTTGTAGAAGCAGTCTGCATGCCTAGGTGCTTGATTTTATACACCTGTGGCCAAGGAGGTGGAAAAATGGAATCCAATGATTTGGAGGAGTGTCCCAATACTTTTGACAATATAGTGTATAATTAGAGGTAAAATCCTTTTAAAAACTAACCTTATATGTCAAGTATAGTTTAGTTCAATGCACTAGATAGATATTAATTTCATATAAACATTGGAGACCAAACCATATTTGGCCAGTGACCCTTTGTTAAAATTTAGTGGTAGGGCTTAGGAGCGATCATTCGCAGTTAGTGAATGACAGGATTGCTTTTTCTTACAGCAGGTCAGGGGGCATTGTTTATTGTGATTTATGGGGATCTGCATTGCTGGATGATATAATTGACAACCGATTTACATTGTGGGACATTTTTTTGTTTTTAATTTTATTTTTTAATGAGGGACTTGTTAAATAGTTTATCTTTATTTACTACTAATATTTGTTTTGTGAACAAGTAGGGGTAATATCTACTTTTCTACTCCTGTCACATTCACATAAAAGTGGGCAGTATCTAGGGATCCCTTTATTAGTAATTAGGACTTCCATATTCTGATAAGCCCCCCCCCCCCCATTCCCACCTGCAAACCTAAGAAGATGCCCTTGTCCCCACTGACATGAGGACAAGGACATGCTGCTTGGCAGAGGAGCCCCCTATCAGACAGAAATCCCCAACGGGCAGCTGAATGGGCTGGGCAGGGATGTGTCACTGGTTGTTAGGATGCTGGTGGCTGCTGGATCCCTAACAACCAGGAGCCTTGAGCAGAAAACTGTGGCATTCAGTAGCAGTAGTAATACCATTGCTAATGCCTTATGCACACTGCTGCTCAAAGAAGCTGCTCCTACAGGAATTTAAACAGTTTTGAGCTTTATTTTTCTCTACCTGTAAACGTCACTCCATGTTAGTCTATGTGTCCATACACATTATAAGTGTTATCAGGAGTTTAGTACCATGGGAGTTTTCAGGAGAGGAGTTTTTGTGCATAAAAAAGTGAAAAAAAATCCATTAGTGTGCAGTAACGCACATTAGCGCGCATTAACCCTAGTCACATTGATGTGTGTTTCCACATTATTGTATTCTAATGGACAGAATTCTGCCCACTAGAATGCTTTAATGCCAGATGCAGAAACACGCATTAATGTGCACATGCTTTTTAATGCGGATTTGATGCTGAAAACTCCTGTGGGAGAAACATTGTTTTTGAGCTTCAAAGTGTGCATGAGACCTATTTGCTTTTCTTGCCACTGCATCTGGAGCTTAAGCTTAGATGGACATCCATTTCATTAACTAAACCTTCGGACAAGCAAAATTTAGTCCGAACATGGGTTTGGATCGAACCAGCAGCTCATTCCTCTTCTTATGACATGGCAATGTGCTGCTATGGTATATTTGGGTAAAACATCCTTGACATTTAATTTCTCAGCAGATAGACTATATGTAGAAGAGGTAGGGGCTAATTCTGCAAAACTATTCAGACGCTTATCATTGCGAAA